CACCCACACCCACACCCACCCACACCCTCATGAGAGTTTTATTACAGTGTGCTCTGTACACCAAAATGAAATAAAACTCTCATGTCATACCTCTACTTAGTCCTAAATTTAATGTACAGTTTGACAGCATAGCAAGACAAAGCGAGGAAAGATTTTTGTCCGAAGTTGTACTCTTACAGGGGAAGCCATGCATGAATTTTTCATATATTTAATTCTTAAGAAAGAGTCAAAGAACCGATTTTAAAATGGAGTGGCCAATATAAAACCTGAAGTTGGTGTATGTTTGCTGTTTATTTATGACTTCAAAACTTCATAGACTAGAAACATGACCGATCACTCTATGAAAATTGCCAATAAAATTTGATAGAAGGTTACATTTGAGGAACTATATCTCAACAAGGGTTTAATGGTGCATCCTTGCGCATCCACTGAAGATAGATAATGATATGCTCTACCACATAACAAATTAAAACTTGAATTAAAATTTCGGCAAAAGAACTGCATTATTGACCAGTGATTATTTTTCACTATACTGAGTGTAAGTTTTTGATCTTATTATAGCCTAAAGAACTTCAAGTCCGAATGATCTGTAATATACAGTAAAGAGATTAGGCATGCACCGAGCCCGAACTATAGTTCGGGGTTCGGACCGAACGGTTCGGGTTCGGGTTCGGGCTCGGTCACAAAGTTCGGGTTCGGGTTCGGGTTCGGATTCGTAGGATCAAAGGTGAAACTGTTCATAGTTTAATAAAAAAAAAAAAAGGTAACATTTTTTATATATATCTTATTCACCACAATGCACATACTCTCAAAGTATTGAAAGAAGGAGGGATACGACTGAAGATATTACTGATCTATATCATATATATATAACGGAAAACAGCATGTCAGAACTGAATTGAATCGATTTTTGATCGTTTTACATAAAACCATTGCTCACAACACAGAAATAATTCTCTGTGACGCAAAGTATTATGGATAACATCTTATCTCCAAATAAGTTTTTGTCAAAGAGAAAAGAATCTTTGGGTGACTAATACGATAACTGTCTAATTATATCAGCCTATAGAAGAGTCCCT